GAAATTTGGGGAGCATTTTTGCAGAAACAACCCAGGCACACAAACAAGCCAAGCCAATCTAGAGCCCATATAAAATTGTCCCGCCCAGACTGCCATCTTAAGGTCCACCCTACAGAAATGTCGTAGTGGTATCCAGGGGTCATTTCATAGAAAAAGAGGTGCAGGAGCTCATTAGCATAACTCATTAGCATAACTCATTTGCATATGCCACACCCCCTGACATCACCGGAAGTGTGTCAGAAGGGAACACCCACTGCTCAGTCTCCACTGGACTCTTTTGGATTGCTAGCTATTGGGAGGGGGGGAACGTGCAGATCTGTCCTCGCAGAAGAGGGAGAGCTTGTACCTGAATAAAGCTTGGTCTTAAAGGTGCCACTGGACTGTTTTGGACCGGGGGGCCGAGGGGGGGGGGCTCTGCAGCTTACCTTGCTGCTGCTTGCTCTGACTGAGGGCTGCTGGAAGCAGGAGGTGGGGCTTGTTGCATCTGCCCGTCCCCTGGGCTCTTTACTGCCGGAGCTCCGCTCCTGTACGCTCCTGCAGGAAATGACCCCTGGTGGTATCCTCTGATAGCCTTCAACTGCAAGTAGCTACCCTAAACATGTTCGTTACTGAAGAATAAGGAACTTCTGGACTGGCCCTTGGAGAATCAGACTTTTCTCCCTGGTATCCAGGCAAAAAACCCACCGTGGATTTTAATTTAAAAAAAAAAAAAAACTCACGTTGTTCAGCCTGCCTAATGTCATTGTGTCTGGGTTAAGGAGGAGGAGGAGGAAGAAGAAGAAGAAGAGGAGGAGGGGGAGGAGGAGTTGGTTTTTATACCCCACTCTTTATTACCCAAAGGAGTCTCAGAGTGCCTTACAATCATTTTCCGTTCCTCTCCCCACAATGGGCACCTTGTGATGTGGATGGGGCTGAGAGAACTCTGAGAGAGCTGTGACTGACCCCCAAGGTCACCCAGCTGGCTTCATATGATGCCCATGGACTCCACGGTGTCCACTACCACCTTTCCTGCTGCTCAGCAACTGTTCTGAGAAAGTGGGCATGGCCACATGGAGCTCTTGCCCAGCAGGGCTTCTGACTGGCCATTGCAGATCTGATTGGCTGTGCAGATTAAAACAACATTGTATCAACAGCAGCTGCCACAAGTGTGGTTTCATTGTATCTCACTCCAGTTTCTCAGAGTATTTTTAAAAATCACCCCTTCTCTCACCTGCACCTTGGCTTCCTCTGTGTGTTTGTGTGGTCCCACCTCCTGCAGCAGCCATTTTGTGGTTGGCTCCATCTCCTCTGGCAGCCATTTTGCGGTTGTGCCCACCACCCTGTGTCAGAATTCCAGAAGCAGGGCCATAGCCAGGATTTGTTTTACTTTGGGGGGCATTTAAATAAGTTGGGGGGTACTCCAGCACACACACCCAGGCTGCATCAGGAGCGACAAGAGAGTAAAAGTTTTTAAAAAGCAGCTAGAGGGGGGTGGCAAGGGTGCTGGTAGGCACGGCAGGGCAATGGCTCAGTGTGGCGAGGCTGTGGCATGCGTGAAAAATAAAATAAACTGGCTGGATGGGAAGTCGGGGGTCCTGGCCCCAAGATGCCCCACTGTAGCAACAGGCCTGTCCAGAAGTGTCCACAAGCTAAAAAAAGGTTGGGGACCCCAGATCTAAGAACACCATACGTGTGATGGGATGCCACACTGCATTTGAGTTTCTCTACTCCACAAGAAGCAACTGGAGATGATGAACAGGGGCAGAGAAACCTCTCAGCAGTGACATCACACAAATGGCATTACCAGACACGACAAGGAGAAAGGGGAAGCAGAAGAGGACGCAGGGCTTCTCTTTTCAGCGGCAATCCTGCGTCGCTCACAATGACTAATCCCAGCCAGAATGGTCAAAATGTACAAATGAAGTTGGACGCTAGTATTGCTGACAGTAGGTCAAGATCCATGCAGACCAAACCATGACAGCTTGTCGGTGATACTGGGCAGCTCACAACCTTGCAGCCTAAACTACTTCATAGAGTTGTTGTGAGGATAAGCGGCAATCCTGCGTCGCTCACAATGACTAAT